TATTCATCAGAAATATGGGGTTTTGAAAACACAAATATTATAGAAAAAATCCATCTTCAATTTTGTAAATATATACTAAATGTAAGAAAAAGTACACCAAATTTCATTGTTTATGGTGAGCTTGGAAGATACCCACTAGACATCGAAATTAAATGTAGAATAATAGTATTCTGGCATAAGTTGATTACCTCTAGTAAGTTATCAAGTACTATTTATAAGCTTATGTATACATTACATGAAAATGGAACTATGTTATTTAAATGGCTCGCATATGTTAAAGATATTTTTTCTCAAACTGGCCTGAACTATGTGTGGTACTATCAATCTACATGTTCTTTTTCAAAAGACGAAATTAAGAGGCTTGTGAAAAGTAGACTGAAGGATCAATTTATACAGAAATGGTTTGATAATATTCTTAACTCCTCTAGAGGACAAACATATTCAATATTAAAGACAAAGTTTGAACAAGAAAAATATTTAATTAAACTTAATACAAATGATAGGAAAATAATGTGTAAATTCCGTTCTTGCAATATGCATTTACCCATAGAAAAAGGAAGATGGTTAGGTATTCCTCGTCAAGAAAGAACCTGTACATTATGTAATTTGTACATTGGAGATGAATTTCATTACTTAGTTATATGTGAAAGTGTTTTAGTTAAATGTCTAAGAGAGAACTTATCTAAGTCAATTAAAAATGCAAGGATTGTTTAATATATTTAATGTAAAAATTTACACAAAACTTTGTAAATTCATAGAAAAGCTTGAAAAAAATATTAACTTAATTTCTGTACTATTTGTGTACTTCTATATGTATCTATGCTATGTACAATGTTGTAATTGTGTACATCACACGCCATGTATCATACTTACTATATGTATGTGACCTCTTGTTACACACGTAAGTGTGTCGGAGTGAATAAATAAAACTTATAACTTATAACTAAATAGTACCTGTGTTGTCCTGAGCCTGTGTCTATATAGCTACATATTACCTGTGTTGTCCTGAGCCTGTGTCTATATAGCTAAATATTACCTGTGTTGTCCTGAGCCTGTGTCTACATACTTACATATTACCTGTGTTGTCCTGAGTCTGTGTCTATATAGCTTAATATTACCTGTGTTGTCCTGAGCCTGTGTCTATATATAGCTACATATATATTTGTTGAAAATCCTATAAGTTGTAAAACTTATGGAAATAAATTGAAATGGATATTGATATATATACAAATGTACTCTCATATAACCTATGTTGTTCTGAGTCTGTGTCTAAATACAAATGTATCGTCATATTACCTGTGTTGTCCAGAGTCTGTGTCTATATATAAATGTACCGTCATATTACCTGCCTTTTCCTCAGACTCTTTGTGTATAGCTACATACTATCTGTGTTGTCCTCAGCTTGTGTCTGTATAGCTACATATTGCCTGTGTTGTCCTCAGCCTGTGTCTATATAGCTACATATTACCTGTGTTGTCCTCAGCCTGTGTCTATATAGCTACATATTACCTGTGTTGTCCTCAGCCTGTGTCTATATAGCTACATATTACCTCCTCAGTCTGTGTCTGTATAGCTATATACTATCAGTGTTGTCCTCAGCCTGTGTCTATATAGCTACATATTACCTGTGTTGTCCTCAGTCTGTGTCTATATAGCTACATATTACTTGTGTTGTCCTCAGCCTGTGTCTGTATAGCTACATTTTACCTGTGTTGTCCTAAGCCTGTGTCTATATAGCTACATATTACTTGTGTTGTCCTCAGCCTGTGTCTGTATAGCTACATATTACCTGTGTTGTCCTAAGCCTGTGTCTATATAGCTACATATTACTTGTGTT